CAGATAAAGACCTGTGAATGGATTTTTAAATATCTTTGAAACTGTTGCCGTGGCAACGCATCAAACTTTACCATTTTTTAGGATGCTTTTGAGACCCTTAGCATGCTTCAAATTGCATGAAACTCAGACACATCACATTTATTAGCCAGATATTTTGGTTTGAATATGGCGAGCCTCTCTCTGAGCCTACGTCTCTGTATGGCAAGCCCCTTTAACATTTAAAAGCTAAGTTTAACTATCCAGAATTAACATTGTAGATATCAACAACGTCTTTCTGAATAGTCGTAATTACATTTTGGAGAGTTTGTATTATCATTTAAGATATCTGTAACGTAATTGTGACTAGTCGAAACGACAGATAGAGTAAAGCAAGCCGTTTTAACATTTAATCATTTTAACCTACTAGTCTCTATTTTCATGCTACTGTTGTAAAGAACGATACTTTTAAACATAACCCTAAATCGCCATAAGGTGTCGCCAGGCGACCGTCTTAATGAACGAGTCATGGATTCATTCGTTCACAATGCTGAATCATTCAGTAATGAGAAAACACATTGCTTTGAGATGCGCGATGGTTTGCTGTGATCTTTGTCAAACTATTTTCTCTGCTGAAACATAAAAAAGTCAATATTGCATCTAAAATGTACAGTAAGTGACGTGTCTTGTGTGTGTGTCTACGTTTGTTGCAGTGATAAGAGTTGCACCACTGTTAAATATATCTGGATATATATCTTCTTCTTTTTTTTTACAAAATATGCATACAAGCCATAAATTTTAGATTTATTATTTACTTTAAATTAAATTAAGATTGTATTTCTGGTAATTGAACCTGAATGAATTTAAAATGAATGTGCTATATTTCAGATCATATATTTGTTTTTCTTAAAATTTGAACTAACCTTAACTTTATTCTCAGCTGAATTATAATTTATTTCTGTATAAAATAAAAACACATTTGAATTTTCTTTTTTAATCAATGTAGAATGTGTAACTGAAAAATAAACAGATTAGGGCTCTGTTCGAGGACAAGAAATTAAAACCAATGTAACATGATGAATGTCCAAAAGACGGCAGAGAGTGAGAGAGAGAGATATTTTGGTTGCTTGACAGTTGTAGGTTGCAGTTTGACAAGAGTTTATAGTTTGACACAAGCACAATGTTGTGTTATATTGCAAGTGTACACAAATATATATATTCCAATTCCAGTTTGAATAATTTCCTGTATGAACAAAAGGACAGAGTACAGTATGTTTTATGTCTCCATTGTTCAATCACGCCTCACACAACCAGACATTATTGTTCTAATCAGATCAGGCAAGTGATATCCTGTCTTGTCCCTTAAAGGGTTAGTTCACCCAAAAATGAAAATTAAGTCATTAATTACTCACCCCCATGCTGTACCAACCCCGTAAGACCACAAATAAAGATATTTTTGAATGAATCTGAGAGCTGGATCACTCTTCCATAGCCTGCCTAAGGGACTGGCTCTTGACGGCCCATAAAGTCATTAAAGAAACGGTTTAAATATTCCATGTGCCTACAGCGGCTCAATTATAAGTTTATCAAGCGACGAGACTACTTTTTGTGCGAAAAAAACATAAATAACGACTTAATTCGACTATTCTATTACTTCCTTATGGGCGCATGCGCGAGAACTGAGACGAGGACGTTCTTCTCCTTCGACTAATTTTTGTTACCGGCTGCTCACCGCTTAGGAGTATTACCGCCACCTACCGTATAAGATGATGTGGTGATATAGCTGGAAGCACAAAACTTTCTGTTTACAAGCAGAGGAAGATGCGCGCTGTACATACGCTTTTCAATTAGCATATTTTCCGCACTATAAGGTGCACTTAAAAGCCTTTAATCTTCTCAAAAAACGACAGTGTTCCTTATAATCCGGAGCGCCTTATATATGGATCATCATCTTATACGGTAGGTGGCGGTAATACTCCTAAGCGGAGCAGCCGGTAACAAAAATTAGTCGAAGGAGAAGAACGTCCTCGTCTCAGTTCTCGCACATGCGCCCATAAGGAAGTAATAGAATAGTCGAATTAAGTCGTTATTTATGTTTTTTTCGCACAAAAAAATAATCTCGTCGCTTGATAAACTTATAATTGAGCCGCTGTAGGCACATGGAATATTTAAACCTTTTCTTTAATGACTTTATGGGCCGTCAAGAGCCAGTCCCTTAGGCAGGCTATGGAAGAGTGATCCAGCTCTCAGATTCAATCAAAAATATCTTTATTTGTGTTCTGAAGATGAACGAAGGTCTTACGGGGTTGGTACAGCATGGGGGTGAGTAATTAATGACTTAATTTTCATTTTTGGGTGAACTAACCCCTTAAGGGCCAAAGCCGGCGGCACCGCCACCCCGGTGCCTTTAAGTAACTAAATAATCTACAAATACTAAAGCAGCAAACTTTGCAAAAAAAATAAAAAATAAAATAATTATGCCAATACTTTATGGTCCCAAATGATCTAATTTATCAAAATGATCTATTTTATACTGTAAAAACTGAAGTGTATAAATGCAGTGATTCTAAACATCACAGGCTCATTGAATAATCACATATGAAAGTATGAGAGCTGCAATGACCTACAACTTAAAATTTGGGTTCATTACCCATACCAAGAACATGACATCAGAAGACTTGGAATATGCAGCAAAAATCATATGGACTAATTTATGACTCGGTTATGGAGCATCACAGAACATGCAGGTAAAAAGGCACACAATTTTTAATCATAACATGTAGGCATGGGCGGTATCCAAATTTTCACACCGTCAAACCTCCTCCCTATTTTACCGCGGTATACGGTATTACCGCCTGACTAATTAAAAATTACGAGATAAGGCTCAGATGGCATCACACATGATGACACGTTCAACCAGAGAGTGTCGGTTCCAATAATGCATCTAAAAGCTGTCAATCAACTATTAGAAAACAGGAGATGCACATTGTCTCACACCAGAGAATGTGAGCAGAGTGGTGATATTTCCTCAAGAGAGGGGAGCGCATTTATGGAGATCACGCGCCACGAGCTCTGTCCACTCGGCGCCGCGAGATAAAACTATTTATTAATAAACTAGTGTTTTCTATGTCAGTTGCTGCAAAAATAAAGATTGCATTGACGATGCAAACTGGCATCTTCACGGTAGTGAACACGAATAAAGAGTAGCCTAATGCACACTTCATATGAATAAGCCTATAGCAGAGAGCAGCCCATTTCTTTTAGCTTGTAATTGTTTTGTTTAAAAGTATAGACATTTCAAGCTTACTATATATATACACTTCTCAGATCATTAAGACATGTATCTTATATGCCGAGTTTCAGTTCATGTATGAATCGCGCTCCAGTCACGCGTCGGCGCGTGTCCTGATTACTATCTTTGCTTTTTATTTATTAATCCAGGCAATTCGTTGATGAAAAACGAATAAATAAATGAAGTTGCAATTTATTCAAAACGAAATTCGTTTTTAAAAAAGGCTTTGTACAAAACAAAACGTAATAAGTGGTCATAATCATGTCTGACTGACCCAACATGTTTTCTATGTCAGTTGCTGCAAAGATAAAGATTGCATTGACGACGCAAAGCATCTTCGCGGTAGTGAACGCGAATAAAGAGTAATGCACACTTCAAATGAATTAGCCTAAACATAAGCAGAGAGCAGCCCATTTCTTTTAGATTGTTTGTTTTGTTTAAAAGTAGACATTTCAAGCTTACTATATATACACTTCTCAGATCTTGTTTCTTATATGCGAGGTTCAGTTCATGTATGAGTCGCGCTCCAGCGCCGCGCCGGCGCGTGTCCTGATCACTATATTTGCTTTTTATTAATTAATCCAGGCAATTCGTTGATGAAAAAAAAATTAAAATGAAGATGCAATTTATTCAAAACGAAATTCGTTTTAAAGAAAGGATTTCTACAAAACAAAACGTAATAAGTGGTCATAATCATGTCTGACTGACCCATTCCAAATGTTTTCCGATATTGCGCATTTTATGATCTTACCTTATTCATCTCATGAAGTCCCTTTTCATCATATTATTAAAGAAATATGAAAAGAATTCGTTTTTTTTTTTTTTTTTTCAAACTTAGCTTAAGCGTCACACGGTCTGGCCCGCTGTAGACTACATGCATGTGTGCGTACATGTGGTGGTGGGGCACAATTTTCAAATAATAATCGAATAATACCAGGCAACGTTTAAATATTATTTTTGCTTGAAATGCCCATCCCTGCCAAACTGCAGAAGTCGTGTTCTTCTTCGAGACCAAGTCACTCAGTGCGCAACTTGCAATCTTTGCCCTCTCTCCCCCACTCTCTCGTCACCACACTGTCACGTCATGAGAACCAGATATAAGCATTTTAGCCATTAAATGAATTGTATTTAAAACATTGCATTTATATAAGAGACAAGGATTCCTTGTCTCCTATTTAAGTGCATTGTTTTTTTTTCTGACGGTATGACGATATTGAAACTGATACCGTTGCTATTTTTAGATCCCGCGGTATACGATATTACCGTAATACCGCCCAAGCCTAATAACATGTCAATTTATATTGGGGTGATATTAGCAATAATATCACTAACAAATTAATAGTAATAAATATTTATTAATATAATATTAATATAAATAATTTTTTGGACCGTTTTAGTAGCAGTCTGGAGCCCTGCACTGTATGCAACACCATGAACTATCTGTATCTCTTTTACATGTGCAGTAAAGAATTAATTTATCTTTTTTAATTTGTGCTGTAGATGATTAACTAGACATAAGCTTACCATGCAGGCAGCCTGTACGGCCTCACTTAGACTGGCTGCGTTAGGATCACACCAGAACATGTGACAGATGAAGTCTCCAGGTCCCTCTGCCATGATGAATGCAAACGTGTGCACATCCTTCCCGACTCCCATGAACGATAGGAAACGCACACGACACTCGGAAAGAACTTCCTCCGACTGTGTTGGTGACATTGAGACATCAGAGAAGTGATTCATCTAAGCAGATTGTTACAATATAACATTATGTATTTATGACCATCACAGTATTACATACAGTTGTGGTCAGAATTATTGGCACCCTTGGTAAACATGATTAAAGATGGCTGAAAAAAATAATTCTGCATTGTTTATCCTGTGGATCTTTCAATAAAAAAATAAATAAAATAAAAATAAAAAAAACGAAAATGTAGTCTTTCATTGAAGTAAAAGTATTAGAAGTGGGGAGAAAAATCTAACTAAGAAATAACTGAGGTTTTTTTCTCCAAAACACATTGGCCACAATTATTGGCACCTCTAGAACTTTTTATGAGTAAAAAAAATCTCTGAAGTATATTCCCATTAATATTTACATTCTTTAGCACACCATGGTGACTAGAAACATGAAAGTGTCTAGCTATGACTTCTTGTTTCATGAGGAAACAAAGAAAATTAAAGCTGCAAGCAGCGATGGGCGGGCCCTCGCACCAGTAGCACGTCGGGGTGTGAGGCGGCCGCGTTGCATATTCTGGAGCTCAAGCGGTGCGGCTGTGAGTTTGCTACTCATCCAAATCACGCAAATATTGACGTAAAATTCAAAATGATCACTTCCTGTTGCCAGCAGGTGGCGCTATGACTGTGGTCTAATTTCGGCATGTACATGTGTTCAGGGCGGGACTGTTGTATAACGTATAAAATTTCGCGCAGGTCTGGGGATGTACACTGAAGTTACAACAACTTCCTGTTTCATAGCGAATCATCGACGCCACGGACACGCCCATCGACGAAAACGCGCAGATAGCACAACTTTACATCGTCAATGCCTTTAGAAGGCACAGCAGAAATGTGAAGTCGATCTGACAACATCCCTAGGAGGAGTTTGTTAAAGTATGTAATGAGTAAATCATCCAAAAATGGCGGTAAAATTAGAAATGGCCTACTTCCTGTTGAGTTTAGGGCATCGCCCCAAGAGACTTTTCTGTGCGTCTGGACATGTTAGATTTACCACAGAAATTTCGTACATGTCGGTCAAACATGCGACAGGGGCTGCTTCGTTAAAGGTCACTTCCTGTTACCACTAGGTGGCGCTATGACTGTGGTGAATGTCGGCATGTAGATTTGTTCAGGACGGGACTCTTGTCAAATGTGTAAAATTTTGTGCAGATCTGGGCATTTACAGCCAAGTTACTACAACTTCCTGTTTCATGGCGAATCATCAACGCCACGGACACGCCCATCGACGAAAACGCGCAGATAGCACAACTTTACATCGTCAATGCCTTTAGAAGGCAAAGCAGAAATTTGAAGTCGATCCGACTAAATCCTTAGGAGGAGTTAGTTAAAGTACGTAATGAGTAAATCATCCTAAAATGGCGGTAAAATTAGAAATGGCCGACTTCCTGTTGAGTTTAGGGCATCGCTCCAAGAGGCTTTTCTTTGCGTCTGGACATGGTAGATGTACCACAGAAATTTCGTACATGTCGGTCAAACATGCGACGGGGGCTGCTTCGTTAAATGTCACTTCCTCTTGCCACTAGGTGGCGCTATGAATGTGGGTGAATGTCGGCATGTAGATTTGTTCAGGGCGGGACTCTTGTCAAATGTGTAAAATTTCGTTTAGATCTGGGCATTTACAGCCAAGTTACTACAACTTCCTGTTTCATTGCGAATCATCGACGCCACGGACACGCCCATCGACGAAAACGCGCAGATAGCACAACTTTACATCGTCAATGCCTTTAGAAGGCACAGCAGAAATTTGAAGTCGATCCGACTAAATCCCTAGGAGGAGTTCGTTAAAGTACGGAGTGTGTAAATAGTCCAAAAATGGCCGCCAAATTCAAAATGGCGGACTTCCTGTCGAGTTTATGGTATGGGTTCTTGAGGCTTTTTTGTGCGTCTTGATATGATACACGTCCCCACCAAATTTCGTGCATGTAGGTTGAACGTGGACGGGGGCTAATTTTTTCCAATTTTCTAGGTGGCGCTAGCGTGCCATTTTGCCACGCCCATCCGCGAAACCCACAAAATACGAAATTTTTCACCAGTCCTGACATGCGTGCCAAATTTGGTGAGTTTTTTGAGCATGTTGCGGCCCCGAAAATGGCGCTTACTTTGCAGAAAAAAGAAAAAAGAAAAAAGAAAAAAAAATTAAAGCTGCAAGCAGCGATGGGCGGGCCCTCGCACCTGTAGCACGTCGGGGTCTGAGGCGGCCGGGTTGCATTTTCTGCAGCTCAGCCAGTGCGGATGTGCATTTGCTACGCTGCTTCGTTAAAGGTCACTTCCTGTTGCCAGAAGGTGGCGCTATGACTGTGGGTGAATGTCGGCATGTAGATTTGTTCAGGGCGGGACTCTTGTCAAACGTGTTAAATTTCGTGCAGATCTGGGCATTTACAGCCAAGTTACTACAACTTCCTGTTTCATGGCGAATCATCGAAGCCACGGACACACCCATCGACGAAAACACGCAGATAGCACAACTTTACATCGTCAATGCCTTTAGAAGGTACAGCAGAAATTTGAAGTTGATCCGACTAAATCCCTAGGAGGAGTTTGTTAAAGTATGTAATGAGTAAATTATCCAAAACTGGCGGTAAAATTAGAAATGGCCGACTTCCTGTTGAGTTTAAGGTATCGCTCTAAGAGACTTTTCTGTGCGTCTGGACCTTGTAGATGTACCACAGAAATTTCGTACATGTCGGTCAAACATGCGGCGGGGGCTGCTTCGTTAAAGGTCACTTCCTATTGCCAGCAGGTGGTGCTATTACTTATTAATTTAACACCTAATTAAAGCTGCAAGCAGCGATGAAAGGGCCCTTGCACCTGTGCTATTCCCGCCTTTAGGAAGATAGAGCACGGAGGGCAATGTGCTTTTAATTAGGTAAACATAGGTGCAGTATGTCAAAGTAAGTAGAAAAAAAATGTCCTGTATTATGAGGATATGGCAGTATGGTTTTAAAGGGGTGGTTGATTGCGATATTACTTTTTTTATTTTAACCCTTTAACTGTCACTTACCCGTATACAGGCAACCTAAATTTACTTCACTATATTACTATTAAATCCTAATCTAGTCATGACAAACTATATATTGTTGGAAAGGTCTAAGACTCCTAAATAGATATTTTAGCGCTGTTTTTTTCGTACAAATTATGAATGTACAGTAATATATGAATTTATGACTAGAGTGCGCCTCAAAAAAATCGACGTCATTACAGGAGTTTCTGACCTTTGTCACACACACTTTTATTAATTGAAACTTTGGTTTTTAGTGCTAAACGTTCATAATAAAACAATTAGTATTTGTCAATAAAAAAGATAAAATTGTATTTTAAAAAGTAAGGTAAGAATTCCTCTAAAAAGTATAATATATTATATATATAAATATATTTTTTATATTATTATTATTATTATATCACATATTTTAGTAGTTATCATAAATTAGGTATCATTTGAAAGCTTACGAACTCAGAATTTATCCTGTGAAAACCGTTTTGAAATTGGACGTTGCGTTACCATAGAAACAGTATTTTTTTACTAGGCCCCTCCCCTTTTGGGCATCATCTTTCATTTATTATCAAAACCTTTTCTAATCTTGATGAAACCCATATTGTCAGAAAGGTCTGAGTCTCAAGATTCCATATTTAGTGACAGAAGTGATATTTTGATAGAAATTTGTTAATTTGTTATGGCAGAATGCATACAATTAAATTCAATGGAATTCAATGGCAGCCGGTGGCTATTTATATATATATATATATATATATATATATATATATATATATATATATATAATTTATATATATATTTATATATATGTATAACGCCTCAACAACGCTAGACCTCCTCACATCCCACCTCAATTTTTGTGATATCAACTTTAATTTGGAACACAACTTGGTCAGATATATAGCCTTTATTTTAAAGTAATTTTATAGTAAAAAAAATTGTGTAAAATATTTACTATAGATTAAAAAAATATATATTAATAAAGTATATTTGTTTTACTGTAAATTATAACTTCCTTATTTTTTTCATACTTTAATTTTTTGAAGTGCTTTCACTTCAGTAATAATCCGCTGATTGATTTCTTTAAAGGGGGGGTTGACTGCTTTTTTTCTTTGCATGATTGTGTTTATGGGGTGCAATATAACATGTATTCGTGGTTCCCTTTCGTAGTCACTTCGAGTTACGTCAGAAGTGACGGAGAATGGGGGTTTCGCATAGAAAACCAATCCTCTTCGAGTATTTAAAAACGAGCCAATGGCATGAAAATGCCTTGGGGCTGCGAAATTTGCAGAGCGTATCTCCGCCCCACGCAGTGGGTATAAAAGGAGGAAGTGAACGCAACCGCAGTATGTTTTCGCTTCGGAGCCAAGAGACTTCACTCCTAAAGCCATTCTCACTGATACAAGACTCTTCGAGACGAGCGTCCTCTTCAGTGTTGGTGTGACGGCGGTACCCAGCGAGATTCTGCATCGCCTGCGATCTGAGCAGTGGTCTGCCAGACTTTGCGCTTCTCCCTGGTTCCTTCTGTGGGAACATGACCATCTCTACACTGAGATCTGGACTCAATGATCTGACTAAAGTGAGAGTCCCCGTCCCCGCTACTCGTTCTGCTTCTTCCACGAGAAGCTCTTCGACTCGCGGCCAGGGTGATCTGACGGTGACGGTGTGGAACAAAGCCCCGACGATCGTTCCTCGGGCCACACCTCCCGCTCCGGTGTTAGAGCCAGCGAGCGCCAGTTCGATTCAGCCGTCTGCCTCTTCGCAGGCACCGTCTGTTTCGTTCGGTGCTCCAGAAGATGATGCGATGTCGATCGCAGCATCACAAGGCGGGCTTGATTCCTCGGGAGATGAGGATGCGGCTGCGTTGCCTCCCTCGGGAGTGCCAGCGTTGCCCGTGTCTGATCCCGAGCTGACGGCCATGCTTTCTCGGGCCGCCGTGAGTATCCGGTTAGAGTGGAACCCTCCGCCCTGCCCCGATCTCTCACGGATGGATAATTGGTTTTTGGGCAAGGCTGCCGCCGCAAGGCCACAGCCGATCCCAATACCTTTTTTCCCCGAGCTGCATGCGGAGCTGACGCGCACTTGGAAGGCTCCTTTGTCCTCCCGAGAGCGCGCTCTAGCCTCCTCCGCCTTTCCTCCCATCGATGGTGGGGCCGCCCGTGGGTACACTGGGATGCCCCCGGTGGAGCGCTCTGTTGCGATGCAGCTGTGTCCACAGAGCGCCTCCTCCCGTGGTCCTCCTAAGCACCCGTCCAAAGCCTGTAGGTTCTCGTCTGCTATGGCGGCGCGTTCCTATAAAGCGGCGGGACAGGCGGCCTCCGCCCTGCATGCGATGAGCACTTTGCAGGTTTTCCAAGCCAAACTGCTCAGAGATATGCACGAGGGTGGGATTGACCAAACGGCCTTTAACGAACTGCGAGCCGCCACAGACCTTGCTCTCCGGGCAACGAAGGTGGCTGCTCGCTCCGTTGGTCAGGTGATGGCCACTTGCGTGGTCCAGGAGCGCCATCTCTGGCTTAACCTGGCAGACACACGGGATGCCGAGCGGACTCGTCTGGCTCTCCCAGGTTGGCCTTTTCAGCGGTGCAGTCGAGGACTTTGCCCAGCAGTTCTCGACTGCCCAGAAGCAGACGGTGGCCATCAAACACAATTGTGAATAAATTATATAAAGAAAGCGAAGAACAATCTTTCCACACAGCGCGAGTTTATCCGGACACTTGCCAAACTCGTTATGAATTCAATGACGCACGTTACACTGCGCAATGAAGCTCTTACTGTATTTATATGATCATGTCTGCATTGTTGAAAGCATTAGAGAGAGCAGAAACTGCGTTACAATGATAAGATCTTCATCCTCGCGATCGACAGACTGTCCTCTGCTTGCTCAATGCTGCTCATCACAGCAACATTTTATGTGATGGGAACAGATCTAAATACTTCAAAAACATCTCACAATTTGTTAATCTCGATAGCTGTACTAGTAAATGCGTATAACAGCTGTAGCAAAATTATTGAAGAGAGTTTCACATGTAGATAGCTATTAGATAGCTATTTTATATGCAAGCATCTCAGCCAATCACAGCAGAGGCTGGTTGCACACAGCAGACACGGCCCTTCAAACAGAGCGTTCAAATCAGAGGCTAAAATTAGGCTAGGAAAAATGCCTTTTATTACTAAATTATGACTACATACTAACATTATATGGGCAACCCAAAAAACATAAAATAATAAAAAAAAAAACATTCTGGGCCACCTTTAATAAAAGGGTGGCAATAATTATAGCCAATGTGTTTTGGAGAAAAGTATTCATTTTATAAAGCATGCATTTCATAATGTGATTAACCCCCCCGGTTTCAATTCTTTTATTTCAATGACATGTTTGATTTTTGCGATTTCTTTGAATGAAAAATTAAAAGGACAAACAATGCAGATTTACTTTTACAATCATCTTTGATAATATTTACCAGAGGTGCCAATAGTTCTGACCAAAACTGTATGACACTGAAGTATTGCAAGATTGTTAACAGACACACTTTACCTCAGAAGTTATAATGGTGAGTGTAGCGGACGCCACGTTCACGTTCACCGCTGTCCAATCCTCCTTGTCTTTGTTGTTGAGGGCCGTCTCCAGCGCTACATTAATAACCTCCATGCCTTCAGGAGACACATACCAACACAACTCCACTTTGATTTCAGGTAGCTACATTTGATTTGAACATGACAATAAATGTTATTAGGTTGGCTTGTGAAAGCCAACTTACTGAAATCATATTTAAACTTGTTATTAGTGGTGCTTGCAAAGCAACACTATTGTTATTGTCCATACTTATTGTTATCCAAATCTTTATTATTAGTGTGAATGCTTCAAGCATTCACACTCTTGAAATCCAAATCTTTATTATTAGTGTGAATGCTTCAAGCATTCACACTCTTGAAATCCAAATCTTTATTAGTGGTGCTTGCAAAGCAACACTATTGTTATTGTCCATACTTATTTTTTTTTTATTCTTCAAATTTCGGCGCTACTCCTCCCGCAGTTTTTGTCACAGACCCATGAATGAGGTGTCAAAACGTGCGGCCTGTTCGGGAATGGTGTGCTATGACTTTTCTAAGCGATCGGGGGTACGATCTATCTAATCCCTCTATATTTCTAACTAATCTATCTTTCTTTCTTTCTAACTATACTATCTTTCTTTCTAATTAATCTTTTTCTTTCTTTCTAACTGATCTATCTTTCTTTCTAACTGATCTATCTTTCTTTCTAACTGATCTATCTTTCTTTCTAACTAATCTTTCTTTCTAACGATACTATCTGTCTTTCTTTCTAACTAATCTTTCCTTCTTTCTTTCTAACTAATTCTTTCTTTATTTCTAACTATACTATCTTTCTTTCTAATTAATCTTTTTCTTTCTTTCTAACTATACTATCTATCTTTTTTCGTTCTTTCAAATCCATCTTTCTTTCTAACTAATCCTTTCTTTCTTTCTTTCAAATTCATATGTCTTTCTTACTAATCATTTCTTTCTTCCTTTCAAATCCATATTTCTTTCTAACTAATCTTTCTTTCTTTTTTTTTCTTTCTTTCTTTCTTTCTTTCTTTCTTTCTTTCTTTCTTTCTTTCTTTCTACCTAATCCATCTTTCTTTTTCTTTATTTCTAATAATCTATCTATCTATCTATCTATCTATCTTTCTTTTTTTCGTTCTACCTAATCCATCTTTCTTTCTAATCCATCTTTCTTTCTAATCCATCTTTCTTTCTTTCTTTCTTTCTTTCTTTCTTTCTTTCTTTCTTTCTTTCTTTCTTTCTATCCCCCTGTATTTCTCTACCCGTCTTTTTTGTACTTCTTTACTTCTCTACCTCTGTCTCTTTCTCTACCCCTTTATTTCTTTACCTCTGTGTCTACTTCTCTACCTCTTTTTACCTCTCTAAATAAACTTCTAGTTTTCTACAATTTTTTGGATCTTTTTTGCATTTCAGCTTATTAAATGCATTTGAATTAAGCCTTTTTTTTCTTTTTTGCTCTGTTTTGCATTTGTTTGTGCATTTCAATTAAGCTTTTGAAGCATTCACACGCATATTCCGCAGGAAATGCAATTTTTCTAGGTATTATTCCGTATTCTTCCGTACGTTTTTCGGTCGCTTTCTTCTCCTCTCTACTTTGTGCTACAAAAACCATTCAAGTATCAACTTGAAATATGCACTTTTTGTGCATATTTTTTAACATGGAAGTCAATGGAGTTTTATGCTCCTTCTGCTTTCAAAGCCTACAACATCTGCATACTTTCAGCTATTTCTGTCATTTAAACTTTAAAATGTTGAGAAATTTGTAAGCTATTAAAGTTGCATTCAACTTTTTGATATCTATTATACTTTTTCACAATCTCTACTTTAGTCTCATGATGTTTTTCAAGCCGTTTCTGAAATTATAATGGGAGTGAATGAGAGAGACTGTTCAGAGCTAGAGCACGTGATGTCATAAGATAGAGTGAGCCAGCTTGAAAACTAATGCTAAAAAATAATTTTTAAATCGCTGGCCTGGCCACAATTTTCACTCTTCGGGCCTGAAATTATACTTGAAACGTAGGTATTTTTGTTGTGGTTCCTCGCGTGTGTTTAGTAAATCCCTGAGACTTATAGTTTTTTTCTCTGTGTCCTTCCAAAGGACAAGAGTGACAGACAATCCTCCATTGGCAGCAATTATAAATTCAGGTCAAACTTTTGTGATCAGAGCATTACGAACCAGTTTTTTTAACTTGCCAAAGTGGTCCCTTTTTTCAACTCTATCCACACAAAAAAAACATCACATCGTTCACAAAGGCCTTGTCTCGCTCACGGTCAGGTCATTTCGCCGATACAACCTATAGTTTTGCCTCTAGGGAGGTTTGTTCGAGGCCAAGTATCAGCAATTTTGGCCTCTGTCTAAATAGGAAAGCTGATTGCACAGGTGATGCTGATTAGCAAAGATCAAAGGGAGACACACATAATTGGTCCTGTGTTCTGATTGGTGGACAGTCACTCAGCTCTTTTCTGAAGGCTACTACAAGTTTTTGTTGCATTTATGCTTCTACTTCTCCTGTTCTCCCTTTCTCTTCCCTCCTCTTCTCCTCCTCCAATCCTCTACTCCTCCTGTCCTCCCCTCCTTTCCTAATCTCTTCTCCTTTCTACTCTTCCTTTTATTCTCCTCTATCCATCTGCCTGTCTATTTGACTTTCTGTGTCCAAATGATCTATCTATCTATGTATCTATCTGTCTATCTATCTATCTATCTATCTATCTAATTTATCTTTCTTTCTTTCTAGATAATCTCTTTCTTTCTAACTATACTATCTTTCTTTCTAATTAATCTTTTTCTTTCTAACTATACTATCTATCTTTTTAACTGATCTATCTTTCTTTCTAACTAATCTTTCTTTCTTTCTAACTAATCCTTTTCTTTATTTCTAAATAATCCTTTCTTTCCTTTTTTCGTCCTTTCAAATCCATCCTAATCAAATCCTTCCTAATCTATTGTTTTACTTTCTAACAAATCTATCCATCTTTCTTTCTAACTAATCTCTTTTTTTCTAACTAATCTCTTTCTTTCTAACAAATCTTTTTTCTCTCTACTCTTTCTTTCTTTTTTCTTTCTACCTAATCTTTCTTTCTTTCCAACAATATCTATCTATCTTTCTTTCTAACTTAATCAAACTAATTTTTCTTTCTACCCTTTCTTCCTTTCTTTCTTCCTTTCTTTCTTTCTAACTAATTTATCTTTCTAACTAATCTATCTATATTTCTTTCCAACAAATCTATACTTCTTCCTAACTAATCTATCTTTCTTTCTTTCTAACAAATCTATCCTTCTTTCTAATCTCTTTCTAACAACATTTTTCTTTCTACCCTTTCTTTCTTTTCTTTCTACCTAATCTTTCTAACTAATCTTTTTCTTTCTAACAAATCTTTTTTCTTTCTACTCTTTCTATGTTTTTTCTTTCTACCTAATCTATCTTTCTTTCTTTCTAACAAATCTATTCATCTTTCTTTCTAACTAATCTATTTTTTTCTTTCTAACTAATCTATCTTTCTTTCTAACAAATTTTTTCTTTCTACCCTTTCTCTTTCTTTCCTTCTTTCTATCTAATCTTTCTTTCTAACTAATCTACCTTTTTACTTTCTAACAAATCTATCCATCTTTCTTTCTAACTAATCTCTTTCTTTCTAACAAATCTTTTTTCTTTCTACTCTTTCTTTTTCTTTCTACCTAATCTTTCTTTCTTTCCAACAATATCTATCTTTCTTTCTAACTTAACCAAACTAATCTTTCTTTCTAATTTAAACTAATCTTTTTAGACTAGGGCTGCAACAAACGATTATTTTGATAATCGATTAATCTAACGATTATTATAACGATTAATCGACTAATCATCGATTATTTTGCCAGCTAATCATTAAGTTTGGAATGATTATTCAGCTTTTTCAATTAGTTAAAACATTGAGTTATGGGGGATTCCACAGTTTCAGTCCACAAGGGGTGTAATTAACTATATAGATTGAATAATACCCAGGTGTTGTCATTTTTTTAATTTTTAGTTCATAATTTTGTTAAAGATAGATGTTAGAAATAATAAACTTACTTTTATCCCACTAAGCCTTGGCATTATCGTGTAATGAGACTTTATTTTATTTCCGTCCCCAGAAATTACAGATGTCAGGGTGGGACAAGTCATTTCTTTAATTTGCTTTAATAAAATCATGAATTTTGGCACATAACATTTATTTTGGCGTGTCTTCTACAAAATACTTCTACTAACACTGAAAGTATAATTCCCTTAATCTACCATGATGCAATGGAAAAATGTATTAACGTTCGTTACACTTTCCGTCAAAGCAGTTACGCACGTTAAACTATGATTCTAAAGGAAGCAGAGATATATGTAATTCTATCAGTAACAAAACGATAAAAACATGTGTGGACTAAATTCTCATATACGTAGCTACATGATAAATTGTTAATAAATCGGGATAAAACAGGGGCCGAGATTTTCTGTCAAAAAATCATAACGCTCGAACATTTTATTCTGACGCTGAATTTCATCTCCTAATGTCTCAACGGTTCACCTGTCAGAAATAAGATTGTCTAGGTCACGGTCGTTCTGCTTGGAAGGAAGAGTTAACAGGATTTCACGGATTTCGACGAATGTGGGTAAGTTTGTGGATTCTGTCCAAAATGTTACGAACATTAAAATGATACGAACGTGGTAAACTTTGGTTAAGTAAAGATTAAATAGGACCATTGTGGTGAGAAAGGATAAAAGAGTGATCAAGTCGATATCAAGTGCATGGTTTTGGACCGAAAGCAGCGTCGTGTTCATAAAGATCATGCATGAATGGTGGTTGTATACATTGACAGATTCTGCACTTCATGTTTGTAAATTGGACAGAAATGTTGAGGCTATCCAACTTCGAACGTTGTTTTCCGCGTATTTTGACTCAATAAGCTTTTCATGAAAGTCAACATCGTCAATGACATTTTTTGATGATGATGATTTTACTTTGTCAAAATGTTAGTAAGAATTTAGCGTAGGCTGTCCAAGTTAACACATTAATAGTGCGTTAACACAATATCATTTATGGCATTAGAATAATCTGTCGGCGTCAAGCGCAGGTTGTTA